CTTGGAGTGTTACCAACAGGAACAGGGACCCTGTCTGACAATAGGCATGGCGGTTGGCTTGGAGTGTTACCAACAGGAACAGGGACCCTGTCTGAAATCCTAAGGTGGGGTGAGATGCCTCCTCTCCTTTGCAGCTCTGGCATCCTGGTTACCAGCAAGCATTGGGTTGGTAATGCACCTGACTTCCTTTCCCAGCTGCTGTGAGAAACTGACCACATGTTACAAATTGGTAAGAATGTAGATTTGTGGCTGGAACTCCCTTCCTTGTCCCTCCTGACTCCTCTTCCCCCCACTTCTCACAGGCGGAACCCCCTGCACTTCCACCTCATCGCCGACTCCATCGCAGAGCAGATCCTGGCAACGCTCTTCCAGACCTGGATGGTGCCCGCCGTGCGTGTGGACTTCTACAATGCAGATGAGCTCAAGGTACGGGCGGCGGGAGAGAGAGGTGCCTCCCTGAGCTCCTTGTGCTGGACACTTTTCTTGGCTGTGGTCTTGTAGACTGGCAGTGGCAGAAACTCAGCTTTCAACTGGGAATGTCCAGGGTGTAACTGAGGGTGTTTGCCGCCCAGATCTGATTTTACTATGGAAAGCATGAAGGGGGCCACGTCATCAGCACAGAAGGCATGCTGGTCTAGGCGGTTCTGGCCACCAAGGCTTTCTTTAGAGGGGGAGGCCATTGGCCTGGTATGCATCTGAAAGAGGTCTGTGGTGGCTCTTCTAGAGCATTCTGCTACCCAGTGAGCTCAGTGCTGAATTCAGAGTCAGAAGGGGCTGGGTCTTACTTTGTTATATTGTCACTTACTCGTCATAAGATACAACGTAAATAATCTATACCTTTGCTATGTCTGTTTTCTCATCAGTAAAAAGATGATTATCATACCAACCTCATTGGATAATGAATGGGCAAAAGTGAGAGAATATATGTGACTGTGCTTTAAAAGATTATGCTGAATAAATATTAAAGGTTGTGTTGGAGCAGAAGGTTTCACCGAACGAGACTCATTTGGGTCATGCCATTTCCTCGCTTAAAATCCATCCGTAGTGCCACGTTGCCTGGATCAGGATTGAGATTCACGGTCTCAAGAAGTCCTGCTTCTAGTTCTTGACTCTTCTTCCTGTCTCATCTGGGTCCTTCCTGGAATTTCAGCCTGTTACTCAGCCCTAGGGAACCATCTCTGGTCTCTGCTCGCTCTCCTCCACTTGAGCCTTTGCTTATGCTGCTCCTTCTAGCTGACATACCCTTCCACCTACCTTGTTACAACTCCTATTCACCCTGCAGGACTCTGCTGTATCAGCACTTCCTCCGAGAACCTTCCCTGACTTCTCTGGGAAAGAGGAGATCTTTGTCTACTGCTTTAGTCTAGAACCTTTTTTAGTAGGGGAGGGGGCAGGGAGCACGTCTCACTCTTTTCTCATTTCTGGTGCAGAGTTGGTACCCTGTAATGCATGTGGATTTAACAAATGGCTGTTGTTAGAGGAACATGTAACTTTGCAGAAATATTTTGATGCTCTGTCTCCAGTCACCTTGGGAAGGACTAAACACCTAGGCATGAGGCTGATTCTAGCAAATTGCTTGTTCCAAACCTCATAAAGCCATTATCTTTTCATTTCAGAGCCATAGCATTGTAAATAGATCACAGAGATGCCGGCCGGAGTTTCTGATTTTCCCGAATTTTAGACTCTGAGGTTGATCGAGATGTTCAGAATTTAGCATTTGGGGATTGTCGTGGTAATTTGTGTGCCATTCCAGTCTATTCTGAGCTAAAATTGATTAACACTCCTAAAAGGGAAAAACAAAATTTAGCAAATTGCTACGCTAATTAAGGTGAAAGCAAGCCTCTCTGTCTCCCAGGGTCTCAGCACCAACACAGTGGGGAAAAGCGACGGGAGGGGAGGCACAGCGCCCGGCATGCAGGATGCTTCTGCGTCCTTCATCATTCTCCTTTTTTGGGCAATCCTGTGTCCTGCCCCTTGCATGCCTGTACCCCGTACTTTTTTAAGAAAACACAGAAGTGGTTCAGCAGAACCCCAAGTTCACATCCTGGCTTGCCTTTGAAGAACCATCTGATTTGGGTTCTGAGCCCTGGCTCCACCAGGTGTTTAATGGGTGACATGCTGACAGCCACCAAGGCAGGGACTAAACAAGTTAACTCCTGTGAAGGCCCAGCAGTGTCTGAAATGCAGCAGGTCTTTGAAAATGCCCTACTCCCCTTTGCAGCCAAGGCAACATAGGATTAAAATGCTCTTGCGGCGCCTGGGTGGCTCAGTTGGTTAAGTGTCTGCCTTTGGCTCAGGTTGTGATCTTGGGGTCCTAGGATCGAGCCCTGCATTGCATCAGGCTCCCCGCTCAGTGGGGAGCATGCTTCTCCCACTCCCTCTACCCCTGCCTGTGCGTATGCGCTCTCTCTATCTCAAATAAATAAAACCTAAAAAAAAGAAAAAAAAGATCTTGAAATCCACTGACAGTGGGAGACTGAAGGAGTAAGGCACGTAGGGCTATAATCTGCTCCTGGGGACCCTGGGGCTTCCCTGAGGTTGAGGTCTTGGACGACGTGGGGGGCGGAGGGACTGGTGCTCTGACTCTCGCACGCCCACTTTCATCCAGGAAGACCAGCTGTTCATTATTTTACATCCTGGACTTTTATCTATTCAAATTGGAGATTCTATGGCTTAAAAAAATAAGAAGAAAAATACAATCAGATGTGTTCTGAAGGATATTGTCTCCAGTGTCCTGTCCTCTAGCTGACCACCCCATTCAAGGTCCCAAACACCTGCATTTTATTTCCCTACCAATGAAACCCCTGTGTCCCACCATCCTGTGTCCCTTGAGACTCTTGTCAGAATCCTGTAAGGACAATGAGTATGAAAGCATTTTGTAAACACGATGTTGCCATACTTGATGATCACAGTGGTGATGATTTATATAGAATCCAGCTCTGCAAACCCCGAACCATGATCTGTTCGGTCCCTGCAGCTGGAGCGTCTCCGGCTGTAGCAGTGCCATCTGCCTACTTAGCTGCTCCTCCAGAACCAAGAGTTCATCTCTGACGGCCCCCTGTCCCTATCCCCACGTCCTAGCTGCCCTCCATCTCCCCCACCACCATCCTTCTCTAAGCACGAGACCTCTCCCCCCTTTGTGACCTCTCCCCAACACAACAGTTTTTGTCCAGATGAGTCTTTTCCCCTCTGCTCACTCCTCCCCCAGATGGGTTCTCCACCAGCAGGATGAGTTGGCTTTCCCAAAGCATGCCCAGCCATGCCATCCCCTTTCCCGTGCATAAAACCCTCTGTGGTTTCCCCATGTTCCCGTTAGAGACCACAGCCCTGAGTGGCATTTTCTTGCGCTTTCTGGCTCCTGCGTCCCTCGGCTTCATCTCCAGCCCGCGTGTACCATTGCTCGCGCACTAGGTCCTCACATCTGCTCTGCCCCTCCCCACCCACCAGGGGGCCACTGCAGAGGTTATTCCCCTGTCGCTTAAACTCTGTTCCCCAGTCGGCCTCCTTTTCCCCATTGCTAGTTAATTCCATGTTCTTTTGCTTAAGCTACATTTACTCTGAGAAACCTTCCCTGCGTTCATTATCTCACAGGGGATCCTTTGTTGTATGTTCTCATAGGATCACGTACCTTTCCTCGGTGACCTCAACGCAGAGTGTGATCTTTCATGCCTTTGTGGAATATGCTGCTACATGTCCTTCCCTCCCCTAGATCGACGGCTCCAAAAGGGCCGAGACAGGTCTGCTTTTCATCACCCTTGTATCTTTAATGTCTAGTTGATGCCTTGCCTATGAAAATATTTGCAAAATGATGATCGACAATAAAGTCAGAGCTGGGTCCCTAAGAGTAGTAAAGCCATTAGGAAGGGGTTTCTTGATCGCGGTCAGGCCTCACCACATTCCTGAGGCCCGTTGTGCCTGGGGGCATGCGCGGACAGCCAGGTAGCTGTCTACCAGTGACCCTGCAGGGGCATAAATAAGGCAGCTTCATCTGTGCTACCCTGTGGAACGTCCCAGGAGCAGCCCCGGGACAGGTGTCTTTCCATGAGCGCATTAAAACACCATCCATTCGCTGACGTTAGCAAGGAGGAAGAGCAGGAGAGGAAAGGACTTGTGCTGGGTTGTGCAGTTGCATTCAGCAAGCGTATCCGTTGGCACCCTCGGCAGACACACACAAGGGCCTCCCCCGATCGGGCGCCGAGAAATCACTTTGTACAGCTGTTGGAAATGGCATTTCTCAGAAACGCTCCTGTGGGCCCCTTGTTATATCTGTTAGTGCTGGAGAATGGACTAAGAGGGAAGAGGAAATTTATGAGGGATGGGTGCATGATTAAAAATGAACTGTGGGAGGTCCGCGGTGGACTGCTATGCTGCTCTCGGTAATGACCAATTAGTGTAGGTTTGCAAATAGCAATTGCTCAGCTTGCTGGTCTCTGTGGCCTACGAGAGTCTCATTGGTCTTCCTGATGTTTACGGGGCCCATTCATTTCCAGCCTCCAGGTCCCCATATCAACAGGCTGCCAGGACCGAGCAGGTCTGTAGCTCCTGCCAACAGAGGAGAGAGGTGCAGGAGGGGGCGCAGGAGGGGGGACTTCTTTCCGTGGGGAGCTTTGTAGATGGCGGCATGCCGCCCCTTGGACCTTCATCTCACAGATAATTTATAAATTGAAGCATGGAGTTGAAGAGTATTTGCCTAAGATCAGGCAGCTAATAAATGCCAGGGCTGCTGTTTAACTTTTCCCTCTCCAGTGAAAGGCTGTGAGATATGGGATTGTATAATTCAGGAGCCACGGGTGTGGAGCAGGTCTGGAGGGAAGGAGAGAGGCCTGGGCTGCGGCCACTGTGGGATGAAACGGCCATTGTTGAGTTGGGCTCGAACTCAGAATTCCTGCTTTCAGGGCCTCTGGACCCCATCAGGCTGCTGTGTAACATTGTTATTTATGGGGCACTTTGTTTCTTGTGTTTTATGTGCTGCTTTTATAGAATGCTCACAAGTCTGTGGAGCAGATCTATTATTACCCCCACTCTGCAGATAAGGAGCCTGAGGCATAGGGAGGTTAGTTAGGCCCAAGTCATGTATATAACTTGTACACGGCAGGGCCAGGATTAAAACCCAGAACTACCTGACTTCATAATCCGTGCTCTCCTATGTTAGATTTCCTTCTCTGTGGCCTGCTTTTATTTATTTATTTTTTTAAGATTTATTTATTTGAGAGAGCGCGCAAGCTTGAGCAAGTGGAGGGGCAGAGGGAGAGAGAGAATCTCAAGCTGACTCCCCACTGAGCATGGAGTCTGATGCAGGGCTCAATTCCAGAACCCCAAGATCATGACCGGAGCCAAAACCAAGAGTCGGCCGCATAACCGATTGAGGTGCCCCTCTGGCCTGCTTTCCAGCTGGGACCCCGTAATTGTGTCTAGACAAGGGTCCT